GGCGAGAAGCGGTCACCAGTCCTCGACAGAGTCCTTCCTCGACTCTGGCCGTCCCTGGTTGCCCACTCCCTTCGACCACGGCCGATGAAGCTACCAGCTACGTTCTGCGACGTGTTGACAACGCCAGTGCCCCCCCCCCCCCCGCCCCTATCGCGCCGCCCTCGTCCCTCTCCGCCCCCTCGCCGCCCTCCTGTCGCCACCAGGCGCGCCGTCGTTCTGCGTTCTTGAAATGAACCTCGCTCGTGTGAAGTCCGCCCAACGCGTCGCCGCCCTGCTGGCGCAAGAGGGCGCGCGGCACGACACTTTTGGCGCGGGTGACGGTGCGCTTTGGCGCGGGGGCTGTCACGACTGTCACGCTGGACTGGCGGCGCCGCCTGAACGCCATCTGGCGACGGAGATACTTTCTCGGCAGCCGGGCAGTCCCGTGTCGGGCCGCGCTTGTTGGGGCGGTCCATTGTCGAGCAGTGTCTTGCCGAGCAGTCTCTTGTGCGGTAGTGTCTAATTTGGAAGCCTCATGTTGGCAACGTCTCTTTCGGGGCGGTCTCGTTTTGGCAGCTCTTCTCAGGCAATTGAAGAGCCTGTTAATTGACTAAGTCAATTGACAGGCTGTTCCTGTCAACTGACCTCTTATCAGCCAACCTGTTCTGGTAACTGTCTGGTGAGTTGGTGATCACCCCGCGCCGGTTTTGTATATACCTCGTCAGCCAGCGACAAAACAAGTCCGATGCGATATCACGCCTCAACACGGTTTGCATGTTAGTGGCTTGTGAAGACTTGCGCGCAAAGTATAGAGTCGACTGAGGGCACTGTTACGGGTACCACGCTGCGAACCCCGGCGGGAAATGGGACACGAGGGCTACTTGAAACCCCAGACCTCACTGGGCGTCCCCAGGCTCGTCTGAAACTCTGGCACCTCTTACGGAGCTTGTGCTCGGAGCAGCACTGTGGGGCTGGTGCGAGCCAATGCTGTCGGGATTCTGCTGCCCCCCCCCCCCCCCCCCCTCCAACTGCTGCCCTGATCGCTGATACGCCCCAGGGCATGACGCCCTCTCCCCGGGGCCTCTGCGCCCTCGCGCCTCGAGCGCGCCGCACCAGGTCAAGGTCGGACCGCATGTCCCCGTGACGTCACACGAGTCGGTGTGACGTCACGGGGACGGGCGGCAGTACTACACACACATCAGGGGAGGGTCCTCGACGAAAGGGAGGGAGGGTCCTCGACGAAATGTGGCAACGCCACCCTCTCAGCCATCTCCCGCACATCCCGTGTGGGTGGTCCCTTGTATGTCCTCTCAGTCTTCATCACCTCAGACTGGACAGACGGGCATTTCTGTTCGTTTGGGGCAGGCTTGTATTCTTGTTAGTCTAGGGCAGACTTGTTCTGTTGTTCGTCTAGGGCCGACTTCCACTCCTGTTCGCCTAGGGCAGGCTTGCCCTCCTGTTCGTCTGGGGAAGGTTTGCACTCCTGTTCGTCTGGGGAAGGTTTGCACGCCCGTTCCGCTGCTCGCGGGAGGCACCACGCGGGCGCGTGGGTACGCGGCGAGGTTTGCTGTGGTGTACGGGCCTCTAGCATGATAGGGGATGCAGGCTGGGTGTGCTGTTGGATGAGATGCAACCAGTAAGGAACATAACTGCCCTTCATGAAATCAGCCGTTTTATGAGAGAGTATCGTGGGTGTGAGTAATTCATTTGTGTGATATAAATATAAATAGAGACATAAATAAGGTGAATAACATGCATTCGAATAATTCCGTCCGTTCCGTGTTGCCTGTATATCCCTTGGCCACGTTCTAAACGTTTGGCAGTTTGAGTGTCCATCGCATTATTCATGGACCTCAAGTTATCAATAATTCTTAATCGGATTGCAGCATCGTTAAGCGGCTTACACTGCCCAACCGTTTTGATTTAGGTCAGTCCAGTCACCCGGTCTGTCAGCGGCCCTCTCCGACCATTCTAGCCAACGCGCAGACGACAGCCAGCACCCAGCTGACCGTGACCACGTGACCTGAATCGCGCCCAGTGACCCCAGCTAGCGTTCTGAACGCGGTCATGCCAGTCTCTCGCAGAAGCTCCATCGTAAAGACTAACGGGTGAACGGTTCGTTCCATGACAGGCCCCATGGCCACTGTTTATCCACTTCCCCGGAGCAGGTGTATTGCCGCCATGGCGTTGGCACGCTGCCAGCGTCCATTTCATCGATTTGACGGCTGACTGGTATCGATGGTAGCCGAGGGACCCCCGAAATGGCGACGATTGCCGCCGTCCGTCGGCTTAAACGGACTCGGTCCCCGCTGCACACACAGACATACACATCATACGCTGGACACACAGTCATACACATTATACGCTGCACACACGGACACGCACATCATACGCTGCACACACAGACTTACACAACGTCTTTGGTCTGATAAACTGCCGTGTTTCAATCATGTAACTGCCGTGCGGACAGCATATCCATGAAGATGTGGGGCATGAAGTCGCCGATCTCGGCGTTGCTACAGTTCCTGTTATGAGTCCTGACGGTGGCAGCAAAAGGCAGGAGGTGGACGAGACCGTGCATGTCACGCGCACAGTTACGTCTGTCTGAATACAAGGAGCGAAAGCTTGCACGTGGCAGGAAGCGGGCGCTCCGGCGACTCGAGCTTGCCTGTGACGGTGCCGGCTGGATGATGCGCCGGCTCGACGGCGGATCCAGCATGTTTTTTCAGCGAAGTGGGGGGAGGGAGAGGGGAGCGCGGGGGGATGGTGCGACGACTCCTGCGCCGACTTCCCACTTCCCTGAAGCCTAGAGTGATGAAGTAAGACACGCGTTTCGTGTGCGGCGCGGAACCCTGCTGCCCTCCCCCCCCCCCCTGCATCCTCCCCCGCGCCGGCTCGATCGTCTGATGCAGTCTGCAGCTCTCCCTCGCGACCTCTCCCTGTCTACTGGCTGGACTAGGCTGGACCCCTGCTCTATGCGCTGACCTCGCGCCTCCTGGCGCGGAGACAGTCTCCGGGCAAATACACCGACGTCTCATCTCCGGAGATGATGGTCTCCCAGCGCGGAGACAGATCAGCGTCTCGCCCGGCGTCTTCGGCGCCCCCAGCGTCTCCGGCGTCTCCGCGGGTATGGTCGCAAACAGGGTACAAAACTCCGTTTACATCAACCCAGGTGCTAGAACGACTTCACTCTCACGCAGTCCGTACGCTGAAAACACGCTTCGCGATCTGATCCAATCATTATCACCATCATCATCGTGATCGTCATCATCTATGCGTAGGACGTAGTCCATAATTAATGCTATTATTATTATTATTATTATTACTATTATTGTTCTTATTATTGTTATTATTAGTAGTAGTAGTATTATTAGTTTTATTATTATTATTATTATTATTATTATCATTGTAATTGATGTTGTTAACTGGCACGCATCCATTCAAAAGAATGAAATGCTTATGCTTGTATTATATCACATCAAGTCACACTATTATACACATTGACCGTGGCCGCTCGCCATCCTTCACGCCTTCCGACAGTCGGGCCTCACCGTGTGACCTGTGACCCGGCGGAGGGTCGGTCGACCTCGGTCGGTCGGAGGGTCGGTCGGCGGAGGGTCGACGTCGGCCGCCAGCGCCCCTCTAGGCGTCCCGCCGGCCGCCTAGAGGGGCTCCAGCGCTCCATGACTGACACGGTGGCGCGGCCGACCTGGCGGGATGGGGCGGGGCACTCCGCCAGCGGCCTTTTCATGCGATCCGCACCCCGATGCCATGGCGTTGCATGCAGAAAATGGACACGCAAATCCCGTTTGCGTTCCAGCCAGAGCGGGCTAAAGCTTCGGTACCGATTGACGCACTGGTAGCGGGCGCGTTAGGTATGGGCCAGTCACAAAACGGGACTGTTTAGAACCAGTCGTCCTACCATCACTCGCTAAGTCACGCGCTATCCCTCGCACACTATCACGCATTTGCTGGGTGGGCACGAAGGCCAACCCGTAGCGCCCGTCGTCACGCTCCGTCGCGACGTGACGTGACGTCACGTTCGTGACGATGTGTGACGTGACGCGGACGTAGTTTGTCGATATTGACTAAGCGCGGCTACACGGCGGGAAGCGGCCTGGCTGGCGAGGCACGTTGTCCTCGCAGTCCTCCCTGCATTCGCGGACTGTGCCACACGAGCCGTTCGATGTGACCGTCGATGAAGAACGGGGACGCTCACTGCCGATTCGCTCACACCGGGTTGTTCGGGTCACACACACGCGCGCGCGTAAGCGCTGGCACTCGCGTCGGTCGGTCGGCCCCGTGCTGTGGGCAGCCTCGACGATCGCCGCATTGCGATGACACGTTGTTCCTGTCCTTGGTCGCCTTGGGGTTGTTCCCCCTGGGTCCTGGGCGGTGCCCTGGGCCGTGGACCTCCGATGCGCCTCCTCCGGTCAGCGTCTGTTCGGTTCTTGTGGTCGTGCCCGCCCCCCCCCCTCTCTCTCTCTTCCCTGGCGCCTGCCCTGTGCCGCCTCGCCTGTGACCTATGCCCGGTCACCGCGTCGGATCAGTTCATGAACCGCCGGTCACCTCGCCGAGCACATGGGATCCCCGCGTGGACCACGTCGGTTCACCTGCTGAACCAGGCCGGCTCGCCTCGGCAACCGCGTCGGTTCACCTCGTGAACCACGGCGGGGTTCGCCTGGCGAGCCCCGTCCGACCGCCAGCGTTACGCGTCACGTCACTGTCTCGGGGCGGGTCACGTTGTCACCCGTCACGCGCACGACCACACGTGCTGCGTCACCCCGCCGCGTCACTGCGTTCTGGCACATCGGCTCGGTGTGAGTCCGACGGTGGCGTGCGGCAGCAGAGTTTGCCCCAGCCGCTGGCCCAGCCGGCGGTCCCATCCTAGGTCATGACTTATTGACCTAGACAAGCGACACGGATCAAGTTCTGGATCTGGCTCAGGGCCTTGGTCGGGACCTTGTGACCCAGACGTGCGGTACGGACCTAGTTCTGGACCTAGCTCATGACGTAGTGGCCTAGACGGGCGGCGGGCGCACCTGCAGCGGCGGGGGCCGGCGGCTGCGACTGTGGCTGAAGTCGTACACATAGCAGCGGCCCGTTTCTCGCCAGCCCGCGGCGTCGGCCGGCGGCGGCGGCGGCCGCGGCCGCAGCGTCGCCGCGCGCACCTCGGCCAGCGCCGGCGCCCCTCCTCCTCCGCCTCCTCCGGCTCCCGTGAGGAGCATCGGCGCGCTCCTCTGCGTCGGCAGCGTGTGACAACGCGACGCGCCGCACTTGGGAAAGGCTGCCACCACGCGCGGCGCCGGCGACGCCACGGCGACGTAGGCCGGCTGCCGGCGCGCGGCGGCCACGTGCTGGCCCAGGCTGGGCCGCGCCGCCGCGCCACGCGGCCCGTGATAGGTCATGGTCATGCCCTGGCGCCGGATCCTCGCCAAAGCTTCAGGGGTGATGGTGCGCACGCCGCCGTCGACGCCGACGCCACCATCAACGCCGCTGCTAGCGTCGGAGGAGAAGAGCGAGTCGCCGTCAGCCGCGTCGCCGCCGTCGTCCCCGCCGTCGTCGGCGTCGGACGAGCCGGAGGCCGTGTCGCCGGCGCCGTCGGAGGCGGCGCGCCGCACGCGGAATAGCTCGTGCAGCTCCTGCTGGAAGAGCCGGTGGCAGACGTCCGGGTTGCCGGCGCTGGCGCCGGCGCCGGCGTCCGAGCGCAAGATCTTGCTGCTCGGGTTGGCGCGGATGCCGGAGAGCCGGGCCGTGTCGCGCCACAGAACGTAGCTGTCGGGTTCGGCGCGCGCCAGCTGCTCGAAGCGGTCGGCCACGCGGCGCACTGTCAGCGGCGCCGGCAGCTCGCCGCTGTCGACGGCGCCCGTCCCGCCCGCTTCGTCGTCGTCGTCGTCGACGTCGTCGGCGTCGGGGTCGGGTGACGGCGGACTGGTGTCGACGATGACGATGTTGTCGTTGACGAGCAAGTCGGCCAGGCGGTACCTGCCGAGGTGACGGCAGGTGGTCAGCGCGATGGCGGCCTGGGCTCGGTCTGGAAGGTTGCAGAAGCAACAAGAGCAGAGGCTTGACGAACAGGAAAAATAAGAAAAAGGAAACAAAACGAGTCGTCTGCATTCGTCGGAAAACAAGTTAAGCGAGATCTGCGGTTTTACTGAGCGACAGTTCCATGTAAATGGTCCACATCCTTTCAAGGCATTTATTGTCTGAAATGATAGTTTTCGTGACGTTTCATATGCATATGTAGCCTTATTATTACACAGATTGGGTTATTTGGTTGCATAGTTCTTGGACGTCCAGACGTTAGAACCTGCGAGCGCAAAGGACAATTTGGCGAGCGGGTGTCTACAGTGTGCAGTACAGTGTCTACAGTAGTAATATCCACCCAACTGGCCTTGTGTGCCTCGTCTTTCATCCCCTTGTTGTGACGGCGGGCCTAACAAACCACGTCTAGTCAATGCTTATCCCAACACGCAAAGCATCATGGCAAGCGGGAAGCCGGATGACGTCATTTGCACGCGCTCGGGGAAAAAAATCGACTGCCGGGGACCTGCGCCGCCGCAACGGCGGGCACCGGCTCGGCTGGCTGCTGCTGTGGCGGTCTGTGGGCAAAACTACGCTGATTTCTCCGTTCCTGGCTGTGCTCGCCGCGTGGGCTAATTAGGTCGGCGCGTAATCTGGTTTAATCCAGTTCAGTCCGCCGTTGCACGTTAATTTCCGGTCGTGTCAGCTGTCCGGAATCGATGCAGTACGTCACGAACATCCCCAGGTCGGAAGTGTAGCGAGGTCAGGCGGTGTGTCTCGGGGGTCATATCTTCGCATATGTCTCAGACTTGGTCGTGCAATGTGGTTTATGTCTCCACCCAACGCCGCGGATAATCCGCACGTGCGCCACCCTATCCCGGTACCAGGAAAATGCTATTCAGGCCAGCAGCGCACCACTTACATTTGTTCGTCTATTTTTCGGCACAGCCAACGCCTATGCAAAGTTCCGACTTCTTTTCGACGCATGCAACGCTTACTGTCGGAGCACCGCCACCACCTATGATCACCGGGATCAGTAAAAAGTTCCCGTCTCTTGAATTGAACCTGGGACCTAAGTGCACCGAGACTAGTGAAAAGTTCCCGCCGCGGGAGACGAACTCGACACCTTTCGCACCGAGGTCCTCTCCCAACGCATCGCGTACCTGCTGAGGAAGTCGACGCCGCGCTGCCGGTGACGGAGCTCGCCGACGGTCATCGGCCGCCGTCTCGGCGAGTGGGCGTCCACCCAGCGACGCGTGGCGTCGCCGTCGGCGTCGGCGGCCGGCGGCGCGCCGTACAGCTGCGTCAGGCCCAGTATCTGTCGCCGGCTGATGGTGGCCGCGCCCCGGCTGAAGTCGTCGTCGTCCCAGCAGCTGGGGTACGCGTCTCTGCGGAGCGGGACAGATCAGGGGCGTACTCCTCTCGTCGTGGCGTGTGTGTAGGGGGGTCAGTTGGACCCCAGCCCTCCAACACTGAGAGGGAAGTGGCTCAAGTTTGATAAGTTTTAGTGGCGGGGGTCAGGGGGCTTCCAGACCTCCAGCGTTGATAGGGAAGTGCCTCAAGTTCGATGAGACACCCGTTTTTAGCGCTGTCTGGGTGTGGATGCAGCCACTTTCACTGGTCAGCCTCCTTCCGACTTATTTTGCGAAACAGTGCGTCGGACGGAGAGGTCTGGCTGTGAATGCGGGGGTTGAGCGTGGGATGCATGGCCCCGGGCGCGCTGAATGTCGCGGTGATGGAGGCCGCTGGTGGGTGGAGCGATGCGTCCCGGGAGAGCGGCCGGGGTCAGGGGTCATGGGCCACGTGCCCTCTCAGAAGCTGAAAAGCCCGAGATGGGTTGAGCACGGGGCACGCGGTTCAGTGAAGCCAGCCGTAATCTCTAGCCATTGTGTGCGAGCCAATCACGGCCAAAGCGACGATCACTGGCGAGCCAATCACGGCCAGGGCGACGATCATTGGCGAGACGTGACCGTGACCTTGTGACCTTGCGGAGTCGGATAGTAGAGCCGCTGTGAGAAGGCGGCGCGGCCGGTCAGCACTGAAGTTTACGTCCCCGGGGTCATGTCAATGTCATGACACGTCAAGGTCACGCCAGCAGGGACGGACCGTGTGTGGGGTCGTGCCATTCCGGAGACATTCCTGAGAGGTCAGGCACGCCGCCTCAGCAGCACGTCCCACGACCGATGCTCCTCAGTCTTACTCAGTCCGCCCTCGGGTACATGTCACTGGAGGCGAACGGTGGATCACGACATGGGTCGCGACGTGGGTCACGCGCTCCCCGAGGGTACCGGCAGGCCAGCGTCTCTGGCGAGCGTAAGTTTGCACGGATGACACGACGTGTCAGGGGAGAGGGGGGGGGAAGGTCAGGCCGGGCCAGGCCACATTAGAGACAGAGTGAGACGGCCGACACATCCCGGGGGACGCAACCAGCTCTGGCCAGATCATCAGCTCGCTTTGGCGTGCGGAGAAAACTCGAAGGGCACGACGGAGTGATTTATGTGACGCAGAGAGCAGGTCGGGTCAGGTGGGAGCGTACTGCGTGCCCGGAGTGCAGGCTAGCACGTCCCTCGGACCACAGCCTGGAGCTGTGCTCGTCTGAGCGGCGCCAGAGACAGATTCAGTACCCTGTTGCATCTGTCCGCACATTGCGGGCGACGTTTTCTCCCCGCTGCGTCGGCCCTGTCACTGTCTGGCCTGTCCTGTCTGTCCTGTCTGTCCTGCCCTGTCTGCTTCGCTTGTCGCTACCCCGCATTTACCATCCCCTCGCCCTCCTCTCCGAGACACATCGGTGTGCAGTTTCACGTAGCGAAACTACGACTTCGCTTTTGTTAACCGCACCATGTAACCATATGGCCCGATTGGACCGAAGGTTAGTTGGATTTTAAAATTATTTTAATGGGTAGGGTGAGGCAATACAACTCAGTAATTTCCGGTCCGTATGTGCGCGGTGAAACTTGAACACGATGTAATCCTGAGGTAGTTACGCGCTGTGCAGCTGGTTGCAATAGTTTCGCGTCATGCGTCAGCTGCTCCCCGTTTGTGCGAAGGACCAAAATGCGTGCCGGTTTTCGAGTCTCACCACAAGCAGCGAGTGAAACGGGGTTGCGGGAACACTAAGAATGAATACATGTATGTATCTACACAGACCACCGGCTGATATGTAGACAAACCAGACGCCACTTAAAGGATTCGACAGGCTCACAGCGTGACTAGTGAAACGTTTCAGCTGTTTACCTCGCTGTTTTCGAGATCTGATTGAGCGTGAAATCGTTTTGGCATGTGACACGTCATGTTTTGTGGCCATGTGATAGCATCTTTGGATGTCGAATTCAGAACGTGGATTGGTACAACATGGATGGCGAACAGATCGCCAGAATCTGGCTGCTTTCTACCGGCCACTCCTTTGTATATACGTCACGTGAAAAGCTCCCGCAGTATCTTCTCTTTCGTGTCTGGCGTCGTACTCGCCAACACACTGCCACGCGCCTTACACAAAAGAGGCCATACTTCGTTCTTTGAGCAGACCCCTACGGGATCGCTCAGAGCGCATGTGTGGGAGGTTTACTGCTAACGACCGCCCCGACATGTCTGCTCCTGCTCTCTCTCTCTCTCTCCCTCCCCTCTTGCTCTCCGCTCTCTACCTCCCTCCCTTGATCTCTCCCGCCCTCTCCCAGACCGCCCACCCCGTCCAGGAAACGATACCCGAGCCTGCGCCCGCCATGTGCACCGTCAGGCGTCCAGTCCAGAGGAAAACAATGCGGGCTGGGGGAGCTGGGGGGGGGGGGGGGGGGGCGGATCGGGCTGCGGGTGAGGGGTGAGGTTTACGCGTGTGGCCGCGAGTCATGGCGAGCTATTATGATCGAATTGTTGGTGACCGGGCCGAACGTTGTTTTTGATGGTTTGGATTTTCCAGATGTGAAAAAATCACACGGTTTGGCAAAAATAATAAGGTTATAAAGCAATGTTAGCTGCTGGTCCGTGGCGTTTATACAGCCAGATCCTGTGACACTTCGCCGGCTACGACGTTGTGGCAGCAGCGCCTAGAACCAGAAACATAATGCTTTATGAGTCATGTGAAGCGGTGTGTTGTGCTGCAGTTGGGATGACGGCAGCCACCATGTTGATTTTTTAGGGATGGGAATGATGGGGATTAGGGATGCAACACTTCAATGCGAACAACTACGGCTGTACTTAGGGATGGGAACTGGCACTTTAATGCGAGCAACTGCGGCTGTTATTAGCTTCAGCACTTCAGTGATAGGCAATGGCCACGTGCCACACAATGCAAGGCTACCTCCATCATTTCACATTTAAAACATTTTAAAATATGGTGTCAAATATTTCATGGAGACTTTTAGTGGTGGGTGAAATGCTCTTCGGGGTTCTTTTTCGCAGCCTGGGAGTGAACTTCACCTTAAAACCCCCGGCCGAACTGCGCAGCCCGACGACCATCAGTTCGTGAACTTCACCTTAAAACCCCCGGCCGAACTGCGCAGCCCGACGACCATCAGTTCGTGAACTTCACCTTAAAACCCCCGGCCGAACTGCGCAGCCCGACGACCATCAGTTCGTGAACTTCACCTTAAAACCCCCGGCCGAACTGCGCAGCCCGAAAACACATGCGCAGCGGCGCGCGACAAGACCGGCCCTGCTGCTCCCGACTTTCCCCTTCAGCGCGCTGTGGTTGCACATCACACCGGCAGGTGTCAGATGGGGGGGGGGGGGGGGGCGGGGCTCCCGCCGATGATTAAACACACCCTTCCCGTCCGATGAGTGACGTAAGAGAAAGGCGTGGGGCGGCTTTGGCGGCGGCGGGCTCTGATCGGAGATGGTCGCCGGCGGCGGCGCGGCCAAGCGAGCGATTGGTCAGCGTTTGGCGTCGTCACGCTTTCGCGGGTCGCGGAGAGATGGCGCTGCGGTGGCGCTGGGACGGGAGAGACCAGGACGGCGCGTGTCGTGGCCTGGACAGGGTGTGGGAGGAGGCGAGTGTGGGCGGAATGTTCTTGTCACCAGGCTGTTTGTGCAACGCCCTGCGCGTGCGGTGAGGGCACGGACAAATATGCGATACAAGTGTGGTGAGTAGGCAGGATGCTCCACGACACGGCATACGTAGTCCTTGAGAGGGGAGGCGAGGAGGCTGGTTGGGAGTCCTCAAAGTTAATTGCACAATATACGAATGTGTCAACCACGGCTTGCGTTTTGCAGTACATGTGTTGGACAAAATGAATCTAGAAGACAGTGCCTGCCTGGAAGAAAGGTCCTCGCTGTGAGGATCCCTTGTAAGGGGTCGAGCGAGTGGTATCGATGTAGATCGATATTATCGATGACCGATGACATCTCAGCTTTTACCGTTCGGAATAGAACAACTAAGAAAACAGCTGTTGGCGGGTCTCGAACACGCGACCTCGTGGTCACAAGTCACAACCACGTCCTAGGCGTACTTACTCGTCCTCGTTGAGCGTCATGAGGCTTGGCGCGCGGAGCGGAAGCCGCTCCGGTGACCTTGACCTTGACCCGGCTCTGACCGCCGGTGATCCCTGCTGACCCGGCCGGAGGTAGTCCTCCTCGAATATCACCTCCAAACTGATACCGCGGCGGAGTCGGGAGCGAAACTGCATAGTCTGGAATGAGGAAACCACGCGTTAGTGGTGTTGACGCTGGCGTTTTAAGACGGGCGAAAAGGACAGTTGACGACGGCGCGAACTCTCATGCGGCAAAATTTCAGAATAAAAATTTTGAATTCCCGGCAAAATTTCCGGATAAAGATAATGCATCTGGGCGCTGACATGACTATAGCAGCCACCAGCGCGTCTAGAAATGCTGTATCAGGGTATACGGCTCTCACCCTGCAAAAGCCGGTTTCTTATCCGCTGGCAAAAGCTTGTGGAAGGTCACTGCCGTTCGTGTCCATGGAGCGTGGACTATTGCTCTCTATTCATGTGCAAGAAATCTATAAGAAGTTCATGACTCTGAACGATAAGAGGGCGGGATAAGATCAAAACGCTTTCTTTTTAGGTCATCAGGTAGCTTATCAGATAGTCAACAATAGATCGCGAGCTGCTCTTTTGCGGAAATCAGTGAACGCATCGTCTCCTTTACACGTGCGATATTTCCGTTAGTCTTCCTAGCTCTCACTGCGACTTTTCTACCGGGGCTTTCGTCGGTTTCCGGTGTCGGCCGCGCCGCCCTGTGCGTGTGATGGGGCACTGGTCCAAGGTTGACCTCGGTCACGCCCGGCGGCCACAGTTCCGCGTCGCGGCCCTGTTCCGCGCCGTGCGGTCAGTCTGTTCGGATCGGGGTCCGTCTGCGGCTGCGCGGTCTGGTGACGGCTGTCAGTCATTTGTGGCGGGGGAGGGGGAGGGGGAGGGCATCGGGAGCGCCAGCTGACTCACCCGGAACGTTCCGTGGTCGTGGTGGGGGACGGGACGGGACGGGACGGGCCGGAGCGTTTTGGACGTGTGACTCTGCTTTGGCGGGGAAATAACGTTGTAGTTTATCCCTTCAGAACCGTCCGGCTGGTCGTGTGCCTCCCCCTCCCCCTAAGTACACCAATCTCCAAGCCGCGTCTTTGAACATCATGGAGTGCGACGGAGCGTGCATTGGAAGAGAGGTCATTACGCACCCACCATTGTTCATGGCCATCACCGAGCCCACGTCTCCGGCCCAGCCTCCGTCACCGGAGCACCGTCACTGATGCCTGACGGTGTCACGGTGGCGGCGTCAATGTGACGGTGGGAGCACCGTCATAGACGCCTTGGGGTTTCGTGTCTGTTAGAGGGGAGGGGATGATTTCACTCGCTCGTGCGGGCCGCGTGAGTTCCCATGGTCGCTGTGACAGCGACTGTCAAGATACCTGGTGCTGCGGTTGAAAGCGTCTCGTACTTGGGATACTATTGGTACTCTGTGATACATGTGAGTGATTTATTAGTGCATGTAAAAGGTGTAAAAGCTGAGATCGACAGCTGCGGGGCCGTTCTCCCGCGGTCAGCGCGAAAACCCGCGAAATTCGAGGCCATCTGCAGCGGTAATGATGGTCGAGGTTTCACGTGTCAATCAGAGTGACTGGCGCAGTTTCCAAACCGATTCGACTGAATGGAAACCTATCGCCTCTGATCGTCCCCCGCGCACCACGTTCGCGAGTTAGGCGAAAACCCGCCAAACCGTGGCGTCACAACGTGCCCGCCGGCCCCGGCCCCGGTGCCAGGCCCGGCGGCGTGCCTCGTGACCCCTGGGCCGCGGCGGCGCGTGACGCGCCGGCCCCGCGCGTGGCCCGACGCGTGACGCGCGTCACGCGGTGTGACGGCCGGCGTGGCGGCCGGAGAAAACACGGGCGCTGTGAGGCCGTGGCCCCGGCGTCACGCGCGGAATTGGACTGACGTCACGGAAATGGAGAGTGACGTCACCGGCGCGCGGCGCGATTTGGCGCGAGATTTGATTGGCGGCAGGCACGCGCGCGGAGCTATGCTTTGTCGGCGGGCAAATTGACGGCTGCCCCATTGGGCCGCATCTCTGTGCGCGTTTCTAAATTCGGTTGCGCTGCGGTGCGCCCGACGAAGCATTGGTGGTGGGCTAGACCTTGGGGGCGGCAATGGGGAAGGGGGTGGCTGACCGAGATATCTCCTCCACTTTGGCAACACACAGCACAGCTGCAATTCGGTGGCATTGCATAAAAAGAAACCAGGTAAAATCCAGTTGCGGCTGCCTATGTGGGGATCCTGCCAACGTGCGTCATAATTCGACAAGGATTCAGCGTCCCCGACTTGACGTGCGTGGTAACCGAGCCCCACGACTCAGCGGCGCTTCTGAAGCAGTGCTTGTGTACGACTGTTGGGCGTTTGCTTATTGACGGACTCCGGACTGCTAGAAACCACGGCGCCGCAATGCTCAAACGCTGACGTCACTGGTACGTCACGGACGTCACTGATGCGCGTGAATATCCAGAAAATCGGCTGCACGGTGGACTGCAGTTCCTGTCCGCCGCTCAACACCACGTGATGCACTCGCCTGATAACACCACGACGTTGCTGAGTGGATCGAGAGAAGAACGTGTTTAAAATGTGTGGGCAAAGTGTGTTGAGAGCTCGGAGTGGCCCTAATAGAGGGACCCCAGCCGAGTGGCCCTAGCAGACTGACCCCTGGCAGAGTGACCCTAGCTGCCGAGAAACTCCGCGCCACCAATCGTTGATAAATGCTGGCCAACCTGTAACGCATCAGCGAGCGCTCCTGACCTGTGACGCATCCTGTATTGGCCCGTAATTGTCCTGACCTGACCATTGACCTGTAGCGCATCAGCAAGCGCCTCCTCTCTCTCCGTCACGCTCTGCTGCGCTCCCAGTCATTGCGTGTCGTCGTTTTGAACCGTGCTGCAATGTTTGCCATATGCCGGCATCTGTCCGTGTCCCGTTGCCCCTGCGCCGTTACCACCTGCCCGGTGCGAACCGTTAGCGAGTGACCGTGGAGGGCAGGTGCTGCACCCCGAATCAGATCGATATGTGGAGAACGTTTGATCGATCGATATGTGAGAACGTTTGATCGATCGAAATGTGAGAACGTTTGATCGATCGATATGTGAGGACGAGAACGAGAACGATTTGTTGTAGGGTGTGGCGGGGCGTCGCGCCGCAGCCAGTGCCACTTTTGACACTGTGGCACACGACAGCGACACGTGGCAATGACACGTGGCAGCGACACGTGACGTGCTCAAACTTCAGGCGGCATGTACGCATATTCAGCGTGGGCATGTGTTCATGCTCTTGCTACGCCCGAGGACGCAAATCGCCATCGTCGTCATGTGTCCGCGGACCGTTGTGAACGTTCTTGCCGCTGTTGTCTCTTGCGCCTGCCCTGGACACCTCTCACGGTGACCGGACACCTCCCACTGGATGCCTGGATGCCTGGATGCCTGGATGCCTGGATGCCTCCCTCCCTTCACGCCGCCACAAGCGCGGGGTTATCGTCACGTGCCGTCACCTCCTCGCTCGCCGCCCTGCCTTATCACGAGATGTCCGGGTAACGTGACGGGCGCCCGCTAGAAGGGGAGGGGCTCTCCCGGTGACCTTGGCGTGCTCGAGGTCGAGGTCACCGTCGCGTGCTCTATGTGGGCTCCGTGATGCGCGTTTTTGTCAGCGGGAAACGGGGGCAGGTGGGTTAATGTGTTCTAACTCGATCGTTGTTGCTGACTTGAATGCGCGACCAAAGCTGCCTGGATGGAGTTTAGCATCTGGCCGGGGTTTTAGTTGAAGTTTGTTGGAGTTGGTCGTTGAGTTAAGGAGTTGTTTTGTTCAAAAGGAAGTGCTCCAGAAGTAATAAGCCACAGGGCGAAATTATGCGGGGAAACAAGCTGAAATCAGCTTGTGGTATCGTCGAGCGTAGACGTTTGCCGTCAAAGACGTCCTTCAAGCGTAGGCAAGTTCGTAGGTGTCTAGAAAAACGGAGTGAAGCCAGCATAACCTCGAGGGCTTCTATAAGCTGCAGCTGGTAGTCCAGCATTTGACAGCAGCATATAACAGCGGTCTTAACAGCTGGTACCCCAGCATATAACAGCAGCATATAACAGCGGTCTTAACAGCTGGTACCCCAGCATATAGCAGCAGCATATAACAGCGGCCTTAACAGCTGGTAGTCCAACATATAACAGCAGCATATAACAGCAGCATAGAACAGAGGTCTTAACAGCTGGCAGTCCGGCATTTAACAGCAGCATATAACAGCGGCCTTAACAGCTGGTACTCCAGCATATAACAGCAGCATATAACAGCAGTCTTAAGTTTCCGGCCGCGCGTCCTTCTCCCGTCAAGCGTTGGACGTGCGGCTTCCTACCCTCGCCCGCAGCGCATTGATCCTCCCACCAACCCCCGGCCTGACCTCGCTGTTGCCCGGCCCACGTCAGGTGCCCATCCCCTCCTCCCCGCCTCTCTCCGCCGCTCCCGCTGATCCGGCACTCTCCCACCCGTCCGTCACTGGTCTGCGGCAGAGCGGCCGGTGTATCACAGCTTTTGTCGGGGATGGCGTGGATAGAGGAGATAATCCGCGCCAGCGGAGCGGCCCCAAAAGCAGCCTTTTTTGCCGGAAAGTTTGTATTTTTGACCTGGGTAAAATAGTCTGAATTTTTCTCTAGCGTGGGGTAAGGGTGTTGGACTACAAACTGTAAAGTCATGTTTGAGCGTTCGAGACACAGCTTTAGCCATGTGTTGCCCCCCCCCCCCCCCATCCCCGACATTCGGCGTCATAGACCGCGGCTAATCACTTATCACCACGGCAGTTAGGCGCGTTGTTCAGGAGTGGGAAGTTCCATCATAACATTCTATCAAACAAGGTGCAACATGAACCCAGATGTCAGCCTCTAGCCAGCACGGCGTCTGACAGAGGCACCGTTTGTAAGCCGCTACCTAGCGCAGTGGCTGACAGAGACACCACTTGTAAGCCGCTAGCCAGCGCGCGTCTGACAGACACCGCTTGTTAGCCGCTAGCCAGCGCGGCGTCTGACAGAGACACCGCTTGTAAACCGCTAGCCAGCGCGGCGTCTGACAGACACCGCTTGTTAGCCTCTAGCCAGCGCGGCGTCCGACAGACACCGCTTGTTAGCCTCTAGCCAGCTCGGCGTCTGACAGAGACACCGCTT